TTAAGATAGTAATAGACAGTGCTACATCTCTAATGATTATTTGTTGGCAATATAGGAATGTCTGTTTGGTTTCTTCTGTAAGACACTAGAGGATTTTTCATTTCTGTTGTTTAAAAAGTTTCTCAGCTTTCTTTCCTTTAATACATGATGCTCATGAGAAAACTCATACTCTTATTTCTTTAAAAAAAAAAAAATCAAGGTTCCTTGGAGATGAGACGTTCTGAAAAAGAGAATGTCCGTACGCCAGAGGATTCAGTACTTAGCACTTGGGAAGTTGAGTAAAATTGCAGTACAGGAATTTTTACTTCTGTTTTCCTCCAGCGTGTTTACTCCTGTTTATTACTTGAAATGTAGAGACCTTGCTGTAATTACCCGTTACTGCCTCCACAAGTCCTTGCCTGGACTTCAGCAAGGACTCTCCCTGCCCTCTGCCTCTGTCCCTGGTCCTGAGCAGCAACCCTGCCAGCACCCAGGAGGCTCCCTTTGTTCAGAGTCTGTGGGGCGTGTCAGTGTCCGCTCTAATTGGGCTGGAGCTGAATGCGGCCGCGATCCTTCGGTGTGTGTCGAGTTCAGCCTTGATGGATAGGAAGGCAGCACCGAAGCACGGCAGGACATCCTTCCCCTTTGACAAAGAGAGTCATCAAGTTGATCCTCCCAGGGCCTTCCTACCATTTTGAAGCGAGTCGTGGACTTATTTGCCCAGGGCACACTTAGTGAAATAAGCTAAAAAAAAGAAAAAAAGAAAATCCTTGCTTTCCAGGTGCCAGTGGGATTTGTTCTGTTAGTGAAGCACCAGGTCCCCAGTTTGCTATTCATGTAGAAATCCTGCTCCACCCCCTCTTTGAACAGAAGAGAAAGGGTGGAATTTTGATAAAATCCAGTGTTTTGAATCCTTTAGTCCCTTAACTCTTCACTCGCATGTGCCCCAAAGTCACAGGCAGCTTCGTTTCTCTCAGAGTCGCCCGTTCGTTATCGTGGTGAACCTGTCTTTTACCTTGGTTAGGAAAGGATGTGCCGTGTTCTTAAACAGTGGCTTCTGGGGCCTCCCTTATTCAGCACAGATGGATGTAGGATAATTTATGTCAGTGTGAGGATTACTGTTGGGGATTAGCAAGGATTTGTTCCTTGGGCTTATTTAGATCCTGGCTGAGTGTGGATGACTATATTTAGGAGAGCTCAGCTACATTTATAAATATCCGAGTCCTTGAATAATAGATCACTGGGATTCTTCCCTGACTACAGATGTCTCACGAGCCTTTCCAGGCTAAATCTTAGATTACCCTCGTTTGAGTTGCACCTTACAATATGTGTTTCCTCACAATCCTGCATATTCTGCTGCTTTGTTAATAGTTTGTAAATTGTTGCTGTTCTTTGTGATCTCTTTGAGAAATACAGGATTATGCTTATTACTCCTTTCATTGTCCCCGTGGAAGGAATATTACACTATGAGTGCATCGAGGGCCTACTGTTTGCCCAGACTCCTAGAGCACCCTGGCTATGGGACTGCCCGGTCAGTAACAGAGCAGTTGACCCGGCCTTTCCTAATAGATATACTTTCTTTTTCAGTATATGGTCAATCCTCAAAAACCCATGATAGCATCATGTCAGTAACTATGGTAGAATGGGTAGGCCTATTTTTAGGGTGGACATAACCCTGAAATTTTTTTTTTCTTAGTTTATATACTTAGAATTTTTTTTTTTAGTGAAGGGCTTATTTATTTTAGGGTGATTTTGGAAAACTTTCCTTGCAAATGTAAGGTACTAAATACATGGAAGTTGCCTCTCAAGAGGCTTGGAAGCACTGCTTCTCTTCGATGGTAGGCGATCACAGGAAAATGAGTCTTGGAAGTCATCTGTTGCAGGGAATTAAGAAAGCTTGATTCAGGACACACATTTAGAGATAGAATTGTTGGCTGGGCCTGAGATTTGGTGAACTATACCCTGGTCTGGCCAGGCACTCAAGGCATTCAATCGCAGTTACTTCATAAAGCCATCTTACAAATTCAGCGCAGAAGGGAGCCTGTCCTGTTTTCAAAATAAAAAGTCTGAGGTCCAGACTGACTGGCACCATGGCTGGTACATTCTCAGCATGAGAACCCAGCTGTCTAGGTTTTGATTCATCTCTCTTCTGTGGGACGGATCCGTCCATCCCCCTTGACTTGGGTGTTTCTTCCAGTGGACCCTAGCACAGTGCCTTTCTTTTGCCTGTCCCCCTACCACCCCTCTGCTTGCTCATGAGGTCCCTTCTGAGAGTTTGGGAATGCTCCGGAAACCCCCCTTACTCATCCCTCACAAACTCCCGTTTTGACCATATGGCCAAAGCTCCAGCTCTCTGGCTCTGCCCGGAATCCTGGTGCTTTTGCTAGATTTGGGGATTGGGGTTGATAGGGCTTGGCGGTAGACTTCCACTTGGCAGAACCTGGCTCTCGGCCCGGGTGGTTTGTAGCAGGGATCGTCCTGTCCACTGCCTGTCCTAGGGAACCTAATCTTTAGTCTTACCATCGTGCTCTTGGTTGGTGTGCGAGCTGACTTTGACACCTGGGGTTCAGTTCACAAGCATTTAGTGAAGGAAAGGCTCAACACTGAAAATTCCCAGGACTTCATAGCCCTCGTTCAGTGTTCTCAGTTGGCTAATGACATATGGGACTCTGTGTTCTTCCTGTAATCTAGCTATAAAATGGAATAATACCCCATTTTACCTTTGGTGAAGTATATGTATGTTATTACAGTGTTAACATTCCTTACGAGAAAGCTGTTGTAAAAGTCCAGGTACCAAAAATAATGGGAAGTTGCCTACACATTTGCACATTTCAAACTAATTTCAACTAAGGATAAAATGAATCTATGTTTTAATGGTAGGTAGCTCCATTCTAAAGGTATTTTCTCTTCTGTTCAGGAAGTGTGGCCATAAAATTTTCCTTTTTTAAGATTTTGTTTATGTGTTTGAGAGAGAGAGTGGGTGCGAGAGAGCACAAGCAGGGGTGGGGGGACGGCAGAGGGAGAGAGAGAAACAGGCTCCCCACGAGAGTGTCTGGTAGTTATGCTGTCTGTAATGATTCAGTGCTTTTATAGATCCTGTTGTAGTTCTGAAGCTCATACCTGCTCCCATGGATTCCCACAGATCACATACACTCCTCTGTGTATGTCACAGACCACCACCACGCAGACAGCTGGGTGCTGGGCTCAGGGAGCACTGCCTTTCCCAGAGTCGGTCAGCCTGTTCATGGCAGATATGGGAGCAGGCCCCTGTGTCTTGGTCGGCTTCTCTTTTCTGCTATCCTGTAGTCATAGGGCAGTTTGGGGAGAATTGAGTGTCTAGGGCAGAGAATGTGTGCCTATCTCCAGTAGTGACAGAGAATGAAGAAGAAACATTTTATATGCTACCTGGAAGAATGACCTGGTTTCTCAGCTTATAATAGAGGACTCTAGTGGAATGGATTGTAATTTAGGGCAGAGACCTGAAATTGCTCTTCCTTGCCAAAATAAATTGATTGCTTCGGCTGTCTGAACTTCATTTCTTGAACTGGGCAGGAACTAACGTAGTCTAAATTAAACTCATTTTCCATTAATAAAACTGGGTCACTTCAGGCTGCCCGAGTGTGCTTCTGAGGGTCCTGAAGCACATTTTAACAAACCCAGTGTTTCCCGCTCTTTGCCTAACCCACCTGATTTAGCCAGTGTAACACATAGTATTTGCTTTCACCTTTCCCTTGGCACTCTGCTCGAGAGTTGGGGTCTGCTTCTGAAACTTCCTTAGAGCTGTCGGGAAGACCGTTGCAGGAGGGCATTGCCGTATGTCTGCTAGGGCCAGGAAAGGCAGAGGAAGGCTACCCCGGGGGAGAGAGGGCTGGGTGAGACAGTCCCTGCCTTGCCCAAAGAAGACGTGTTTTCATGACGCCTCTCCTTGTTTTCATGCTGGTAGCTTTGCACTATGAATATTTTGACCCTATTGTTTATACATAGGGTCCAGTGAACTGGATCATGAATGTGGGACGTCATGAATTAAAGTAAAAATGATAGCACAAGCTGAAAAATTGCAGACAGATTGTGTCCAGGCCCATGAGAGTGTTTCTGCTTGCAGCTCTCACTCAGCACTTGGCCCACGTTCTCTCAGTTGCTGGAGGTGTGTAAGGCAGTCGGTCCAGCAAGGTCACATTACACCTGCTCTGCCCTCCATCATGTCAAGTGTCAGACTTCCTTGGAAAGCACTGGGGAGGCTCCTGTTACCTGTTATCCTTCCGTGTCCTTCTCCTCGGTTGCTCCACCCCGGGAACGAGGGCAGGGGGCGCCACTGATGCTGGCAAGTGAATCCTGATTTACAAGGTCTGGCAGTTGTAGAGCCCCACTGGGAGATCAATGATTTGAATGTGGCCTTTGGAATACACTGGAATATGAAGATCTAAAAATGTTAAAACTGGGAAATACCTTTCAAAAATGACGGTTGGGGGGAAATGGGGATATCTGTAATACTTTATTTTTCTCATACTTTAGATATTTGAAGTATGCTACCATATGAATTTTACAAAATGGATTGTCTCCGGTCTACTTTTTTAATGAATTGATCATGCCCATATATTTAGGGATATAAAGGCTAGAAAAATTATAGGGAAATAGATGTAAAATTAGCGAAATTAAAAAGTCATTGTGGGGATGCCTGAGTGGCTCAGTTGGTTAAAAGTCTGCCTTCGGCTCTGGTCACGATCTTAGGGTCCTGGGATGGAGTCCCGCATCAGTCTCCGTACTCAGTGGGGAGCCTGCTTCTCCTTCTCTCTCTGTCCCTCCCACTGCTTGTGCTCTCTTTCTCTCTCAAATAAATAAAATCTTTTTTTAAAAGAAAGTCATCATGGGGGTAGATCTCCCTCTAATCCTTTGTCTCCCCTAACCCTCTGCTTTCCACACTTCAAGGTATATTAATTCATCCATCCTTGTGTCTTTTTGTCAGATATTCTTAACAATATGCAGACGACTTTCCACTGATAAAGTTTTTCTTCTATTTTCAGTGCACAGAGGCCAAGAAACACTGCTGGTATTTTGAAGGACTCTATCCAACATATTATATGTAAGTATTTGCATTTCTCTGTGGGTTTGATTCTATGGTCATGTCTTTCTCTGGGCATTATTTCTTTGATAGGACATAGGACTGGTTATGGGATGGGGAAAACTCAGTTTGCAGAGGCCTTTGCCCTTGGTTTCACCTGCCTCTGCTCACGAACTTGCAGGCGACCTTTATAAGGACACTCAGCTGGCTCAGACCGCTTCCTCTGAGGACAGCACGAAATGCCAGGTGCTTTGTTTTGGGAGATAGGTCCACTCAGACATAATTGGTCAAAGAGGGCAAGATGTCTGAGCAGGACCGGAGTTACACTGATTTATACAAATTTTCCAAGGCAAAGGGAACAAGTATAGGGGGAGTATAATTCTGAACTTGAGCTGCATAGGGCAAAGTCCTTAGGTCAGTTGCTGTGAGAGTGTGTCTGTGAGTGTGAGTGTGTGTGTGTGTGTGTGTGTTGGCCGTGATCAGAAAGACCACTTGGCCCTGGGCCCCTCCCTAGTCAGGGGCAGTCAGCCTTTCATGGCTCTTGGCTAGAGCAGCTTATGATTCTTCCTGTGCCTGGGCCCCTGCCAGTGTTGCTCTAATTAAAGCATTATTCTGTTTTACCCCTATTGTTTTATGAGTGTGTGCGTGTTTTTTTAAAATGTTGGCTGAGTTAGCCACTGGCTGTGCTGCACCACCTGCCTAGGTGGTCAGATTAACTCTCCAGGTTATCAATTATTATTTTTATTGTGTTTTGTAGTTCCATAGGTTTTGAGAGGAATGACCGAAATCAGATTTTTCTGAAACTGTTATTTTTGGTAGTTAATTTTGTAAAACATGCGATCTTTCAGTAATGTATATAATCGTATTAGAGCAAAAACACTGTATATTTTAGCATATAGGGAGATAGGACAGGAAATACATAATAGTAGCAAAGAATGTTATTTCTTAATTGGCCAAGATGTACATTTTTATTACCTGCCATTCTTGTGGAATTTCTGATGTGAAAGAGACCAGTATAAGAGGAGAAATGTTGCCTGCCTGAGAATGGGACATACCAACAAGCAGGGGTCCTTCATGCCCCACATTGCAGGAGTCCTGGCAGAAGGCCTCTGCAGCGGCAAAAAGACAAAACCCACTTGGAAAATAAAGCAGCAGCATAGGGGCTTTAATTACGGAGTTGTCAGCTTGAATAAACATGGCTATGAGAGAGCATGGAGATAAAATATTTTGGTCCTTAGGATAATGGATATTCCTTGGTAAACTTTAGTTCTTTTTTTAGAGAGAGTGTGTGCCACCAGGAGGCAGTGGAGAGGAGGAGAGAGGGAGAGGGAGAACCCTACGTAGCACAGAGCCCGACGTGAGGCTCGATTGTAGGACCCGAACCCAAATCCAGAGTTGGACACTTAACCGGCCAGACCACCCAGGCGCCCCTGAAAACAGTCCTTTGTCAAATTGTCTTGTAGACGAGCTGATGAATCATTTCCTGATGGTTTTTAAAAATATTTATTTATTTATTTGGGAGAAAGAGAGAGAGAGAGAATGCATTCCGTGAGCATGTGAACGGGGGGCGGGGACCAGAAGAACAGAGGGGGAGAGAGAGAGCGAGAGAGACTCCCAAGCGACTCCCTGCTGAGCGTGAAGCCTGAGGCAGGCTTGGGCTCAGGACCCTGAGATCATGATGTAAGTTGACATCGAAACGTGGTCAGGAACCCACTGAGCCACCTGGTGCTCCCATTTCCTGGTCTTTGAGAGTTTGGGAGGTGGAGGTCATTGCTGTTCTTGTCTTTACCTGTTTGTTTGTTTCTTTATTTATTTACTTACTCCCTCCATATTTGGAAAAGGTTTTTGTATCAACGGAGAACACAGACATAAGCCCTGTTTCTGTCTTTAGTGTGGTTTGTCTGCTGATTTTGTTTCTTCTCTCATCTCTTTACCAGTGGTGGAAGGGGTTCTAAAAATTAGAAAGGAAAGTCACTCTATTACTCGAGTGCTGAAGCTCGTATAAAAAATAATAATAGTAACATTGAGAATTTACTATAGCCCCTGACATGAGTTAATTTCATTTAACCCACAGCCATTTGAAAGCCCCAACCGCACACACTATGACTTTCTTTTTAATTGCGGGGAAACCCACATAACAGAAGTCCCCGTTTTGAAGGGAACAGTTCAGCTGCGTATCGTACATCCACACATGGTGAATCACTGCCTTTGTCCAGTTCCACACGCTGCAGCCAGGCCACGCCACTCTTCACCGGCCTTTGGACCCGATTCCCGGTTAGCTCCCCCATGAAATGTGAGCGTGAGTGTTGACCTGGGTGTGTGGCGTGGGACCTGTGATGTGCTCAGCACTGAAATCGTGCGTAAACACACACACCCCCAAGGCCGCGTGCCTCTCCTCAGTGTACACACGGGGTCGGTTCCTCCACAAGATGAGCTTGTCACTTTCCTGCGCCTGCGATGTGTTTCCCCAAGGAGGCTCTCCCCGCTGCTTTCCATCCAGTGGGGCTGCTGAAGCACACGAGGAGTGAGGGGACTTGGTGTCGACGTGTTCTCCTCCGTCCAAGCTTCTGCTGCTCAAGGACCGGTGTGCTGCGGGCCAGATGACAGGCCCAGGAAGATCACAGCCCCAACCAGAAGCACTTGGGACTGCGGAGGACATGGGCAGCAGCGCTGTTGCTCCCCAGAGCCAGCTCTCTCGGGGTCTGCAGGGAGGCGGTGGTGCAGGTCAAGGTGACTCGTATCCGGCTTGAGCTCATGCTCACTGGGAGCCTGGATGTCGAGATCCAGCATCCAGGCCAGAGCCGTCTGGTCTCCACGCTGGAGAACCAGGCCTGCTTCACGACACAGGTTTAGCACGCAGGAAGCTCGAGGGGCTGAGACGGCCGCGCCTCGTTCGTTCAGTCCCCAGACTCTCAGGGAGTGTCTGCCAACGCCCCTGTTGCTGGGAGACGGTGGTGTGGGTCGGGAAAGGTGCCTGTGCTCCCGGGAGCTGCAGTGTAATAACGTGTGACTGAGCAGTTGTTTTCGAAGCACCTTTAACATTAAATTTAAATCCCAGGAGTTAACAGATCTCACCTTCAAAATACACTTCTGGTGTGTTCTGCCTTTCATTGCTGCATAGGAGCCCTCAAAATAGGGAATTTCTTAAAGAGGTGTTGACTCCAGATGACGTCGTCTTTTTCTGTGACAGGATTTTTTTTCCCCTGCAGAAAATATATTCCAAATGATTCCTCTGTTTTGTGCCTATACTTTTTCGTGGAATGCATTAGGGAGAGAACATCTAGTTTGCAAACTTGTTTTAGAGATTTTACTCATACATTTGAAATCTGATTTCATGTCTCTCACCAGAAATCCCATATGGTACTCCTACTTTTCCTGCTTCTCTTCCTGAATTTTATTCCAGCATTAAAGTTACCAAGCTAATAGAGGCTAATTTTTTTAAGATAATTAGGCTTCCTCTATAGCTACCTAGATGTACAAAATAACCATTGCCTATTTGGATTTCTTTATGCTAAATTATCTTTCTCTCACTGCCCTCTCCCTTCCGTCGATTTTTTAAATTTCTTTCATTGGTTTCTTTTTTTTTTTTTTTAACCTCTGTTGAGCTGGAAGCCTGCATACATATGTGTACAAACAAAATATTCTCCTTGTTTTTGAAGAAAAAGTCCCTTTGAAATCCAAACAGGAACAACGCGTGTTTCAAATTTTTTTTTCCTTTTCCCCTACCCTTTACTCTGCTACCTTTCTTATCTACAGGCTGCCCTTTCAAAAGCCTTTCATTAAAACGTGCTTTTTTGACTTTGGTTCGGAGCTTCCTAGTATCTCCTCCTAGCAACAGTAGGATTTAAAAATAGCTGGGTGGTCACGTGGCCTCACCAAATCCAGTTCCTTCACTTTGATTCTTCTCTTGAATCGTTCTTCTACCGAGGACTTGCTCATTCAACAACCCCCTTTGTAGAGCCTAGAACAGCATGTGAGCTGCGGGAGGCCCGAGAGGAGAAGATAAGAGAAGGGCCCTGCCAAGGAGCCGGTCCTGGGGCCACGGCAGACACAGGGCCACAGGGATCTGAAGGAGCCCTCTCTCCTCCCTGTTCACGTGGAGGCCAGAAAGCACAGCAGGCAAAGCTGGCTCACTGTGTATGGCCGGTTGGCTGCAGAAAGTGCTGCGCTCTTTGTGCCTTGACAGGTGACAGGGGTCCTGCTGTCCCGGCTCAGGTAGTGCGCCCAGCGCTCCTGAGTGTGCAGTGGGCAGCCAGGCGGTGCAGGGGAGGTGGGCTGGGCTCACAGGCCCTCATCCATGCAGTAGCTCAGCCGATCAGTCCCACTAGAAAGTGGCTGTGGCTATGGTGACTGCTGCACTCAGCTGTGGTCAGGGTAGACACTGCTGTGCATGTCCCTAACATGTGTGTCACTAACGTGTGGTTGCATTATGGCTCAGGGGCTCGGGGTCTGTGTGCAAAATGACCAGGTGGGACCCCTAACTTCATATCCCAGGATTGCCACCCCAGAGGGACAGGAGGACTGGGTGAGTTTGGCTCACTGTGGGGCATGCTTTTGATGGCCTTCCCCACCTGGCTCCAGTACCCGGAGGTTGGTACAGGGGGCCCTTGGTGCCTGAGTGGGTAGCGCCGGGGCCGCAACTAACCCCTTCCTGGGCAGGGGATGGTGGGGGGCTGCTGCAGACGAGGAGCAGTGTCTCCTCTCTCTACGAGAAATGGCATCCTTTCTGCTAAGATTTGCAGCCTGAGGCTTGTCCCAGAGGCTCTCCCGCCGGCATCCGCCATCCGTGAATGGATGTGTATCTTCGAGGGCGGAGGTGGGAGGCAGAAGCAAGTGGAACACGTTCCAGTGCCGAGTCTGTGGTGGGGACACAGATGGGTGAGTTTCCAAGGGTGGGGCCAAGGACTTTGAGGACTTCTCCAAAGTTGACAGCAGTGGGGCAGCCTCACATGGAGTGTTGGCAGGACCTCCTAGCCCTGGCTTGCCCTTCAGGGGTCACCAGGATGCACCCATGTTTCCAT